ACAACTATGTGTGTATGTATATATATGACTATCTGTGCACACGTACGCGGAGGTGCGTGTGTGTGTGTGTGTGTATCGAGCCCCGCTGGATGGGATCCGAGTAGATAGGGTCGGAGGATCGTGACACGTCGCCCATGTATCGGCGATGCATCGGCGATGAGTCGGCGATGCATCGGCAACGTTGGCGATGCATCGGCGCCATCGTTGAGGGGAAATTCGGGATCCACATCGAGCAGCAACGTCGATGCACCGGCGATGCGGCGCGATCCTCCGACCCCATCTGCTCGGATCCCATCTGGGAGAGCTGGGGTGCAATTTATGCTCATTGGCATAGTGTTGCGCATATGGTGCTGAACTTCTGGGCCCTCTCTCTGGGCCTCCAGAATTTGCCATCGCTCGGACGTATGTTCCTCGTTCACTTGTCGGTTTCGTGCGCTTAGCTTTCGGCGACGAGCGAGGGGGGGAAGTGAGAACGGGCGACCCTTCTCAGAAGGCTCGGAAGTCCCCCGTCCTTCTGAGAAGGTTTCCCAGCCTTCCCCGAAGACACAAAGTAGCCTGGCGAAAGACCCACCATATGCAGTTGTGAGTATCCCAGTTGTGAGTAGCATCTTCGGTAGAGCTCCCTCTGGGGCCACGAAGCGTGTGAGGGGTATGCCGAAACGGGGTGCCGCCCACATGCGGGCGGTGTCACTGGGACCTCAGGTGGAGCTCCCAATGGGGCCACGAAACGCGGGAGGGGTGTGCCGACGAGGGGTCTCGCCTACATGCGGGCGGTGCCACTGCGGCCTCAGAAAGAACCCCCGATGGATTCACGACCCGTGTGAGGGGTGTGCCGAAATGAGTCGCGCGGCCGCATGGGAACGTCGCCATTGAGGCCTGACGTGGAGCTCCCCTATAAGCCACGAGCCTCGTGAGGGGTGTGCTGAAATGGGTGGCGCGGACGCATGGGTACGTCGCTACTAGGGCCTTAGGTGGAGCTACCTGTGGGGTCACAAACCATGTGAGGGGGGTGTGCCGAAATGGGTCGCGCGGACGCATGGGAACGTCTCCACTGTTGCCTTCGATGGAGCTCCCGATGGGGCCACGATTGTGAGGAATGTGCCGAACTGGGTGGCGCGGACGCATGCGAACGTCGCCACTGGGGCCTTAGGTGGAGCTCCCCATGGGGCCACAAACCGTGTGAGGGGTGTGCCGAATGAGTCGCGGACGCACGGGAACGTCGCCACTGGGGCCTTAGTTGGAGCTCCCCTATGGGGCCAGGAATCGCGTGAAGGGTTTGCCGGAAGCAGTGGCACGGACGCATGCGAACGTCGCCACTGTTGCCTTAGTTGGAGCTCCCTGTAGGGCCACGACCCGTGTGAAGAGTGTGCCGAAATAGGTGGCGCGGGCGCATGGGAACGTCGCCACTGCTGCCTTAGGTGGAGCTCCCTGTAGGGCCACGAACCGTGTGAGGAGTGTGCCGAAATGCGTCGCGCGGCGTCATGGGAACGACGCCATTGGAGCCTTAGGAAGACCTCCCTATGGGGCCACGAACCGTGTGAAAGGAGTGCCGTAATGGGAGGCGCGGACGCATGGGAACGTAACCACTGGGGCCTCAAGTGGAGCTCCCTATGGGGCCACGAACCGTGTGAGGGGTGTGGCGGAATGGGTCGCGCGGACGCATGGGAACGTCGCAACTGGGGCCTGAAGTGGAGCTCTCTATGGGGCCACGAGCCTCGTGAGGGGTGTGCCAAAATGGGTGGCGCGGGCACATGGGAACGACGCCACTGGGGCCTTAGGTGGAGCTTCCCCATGGGGCCAGGAATCGCGTGAGGGGGGTGTGCCGAAATGGGTCGCGCGGACGCATGGGAAGGTCACCGCTAGGACGTTCGGTGGAGCTCCCTATGAGGCCACGAACCGTGTGAGGGGTGCGCCGAAATAGGTGGCGCGGACGCATGGGGACGTCGCCATTGCGGCCTGAGGTGAAGCTCCCAATATGGCCACGAACCGTGTGAAGGGTGTACCGAAATCAGTGTCAATGATGGTGAAGATGGCGGCGATGATAATGATGATGATGATGATGATGATGATGATGATGATGATGATGATGATGATGATGACGACGATGGTGATGATAAGGATGATGGTGACGATGACGACTACGACGACGACGACGATGATGATGATGATGATGCTGATCATGATGATCATGATGATGATGATGATGATGATGATGATGATGATGATCATCATGATGATGAAAGGAGGGGGGAGGGGGAGGAGGAAGTGGGACGAGGGGCGCTGTCTCTTCAAAACGAGGACCCAACAACACAGGATGGTTGGCAAAACTTCCCAGAAGGCGCGGGGCTTTTTAGAAGCTCCGCCGCTTTCTGAGAAGGCGTTCTCCTTCTCACTCCCCCCCCTCGCTCGCCGGCGAAGTTGGGTTTCCGGCGGCCGTTCGGGATGATCTGGGCACGCCCGGAACGCCCACGGCGAGGCGCAGCTGCTGGCAAGCATCCCGAGGCTGGGAAACCGCCGAGGACCGACGAACACGTCAAAAAACCTCGAACCCCGAACCCGGAACTCCCCAACGTTCACCCGATGATCCCTCGCTCGCCGCCGAGTATGTTTTTCGCAAGCCGATCCAGGATGCTCCTCGACGATCCCCTCCGAGAAAAACCAAATTACACCAGAGAAAAACCGCAATCTATGGATGGTTTGAAATGGGATCGATGAAGAAGTCGGCAAAGAGATCGACCGGGAACCCAGGAGCCCGGAACCCACCGAAATCGGCCCGGAACCAATAACTTAATAACCAAGAACCCGGGAACCCAACCTGCCACCAAAATCGGCGGGACACTTTCGCTAAATCTTTCAATTTCCGCCAGGACCCTTTCAGTGCAAGCACGGATTGGAGAAACGTATTCCGCAAATGATCAGCACATCATCAGGAAGAGTGTTCAAGAATAGTCAGAAAATCAACAGAAAGTCGCCAGGAGGAGTGACTATTCAAAGATGGTCAGACGATAGTCAGGAGGAATTTTCAAAAACAGTCAGACGACAGCCTGCTTGGGGAACTGCACGCGCCGCCTCGGCATCGGGCAGGCGAGCGTCGAGGAGGCGCTCTTCTGGGATCAAGTCGGGCATGTCCCGATCTACAGGAGGAACATTCAACAATAGCCAAAAAATAATCCGGGGACGATCTTCCGAGTGTCTTTTGACAATTTTGAATATTGTTGGTGTATTTTTAATCTTTCACCCAAAACCCACCTGTAGGGGGACATGCCCGACCTAATTCTGGGAGGACCTTTCAGGAGGAGGCGCTCGGAAGGACCTCTTCTGGGAGGACCTTTCGGGAGGAGGCGCTCTTCTGATGCTGGTGGCCTTCGCCCCCCCCCTCCCCCGCCAGTGTTAGGTCTGGCATGTCCCCAATACAGGCGGATTTTGGACGAAAACTAAAACATACCAACAATATTCAAACATTGTTTAAAAAATATTCGAAAGATCGTCCCCATTTGTTTTTCTAGTTTTGAATATTCCTACTGTAGAGGGACATGCCCGACTCAACATTGGGAGGAAAGGACCTTTCGGGAGGAGGCGCTCTTCTGATGCTGGTGGCCTTCGGCCCCCCCGGCAGTGTGCCTGGCCCTCCGCGTCCTCTTGGGGGGGAGGCGGGGGCCCTCTCGGGAGGAGGCGCTCTTCTGTTGCTGGTGGCCTTCGGCCACCAGGTTGCCTGGGGGGGGTCTGGAAGCCTCCTGAAGTGGATGTTCGTTGGGATCTCGTGTGGGGCCTCTCGGGGGGGGGGGGGTCTGGCTCCTGACCTCTGTTTCGTGCGACTGTTTGTGCCAATGCGTCCTGTGGGGGAGGCTCCACCCGCTCGAAGCAGGTGTCAAAAAAAAGACAAGATCTACTCCATGGGGGGGGGGGAGGGGGGCGTGCGAGGGCCCGCGCCGATCGGCAGAACAACGCATACAAAAACGATCACCAGCGAGGGGGTGGGTGGTGGGCTTGTTCCCCACATCCAAAGTGGGGTTCTTGTTTTCTCTGGACACCCCGCGCAGGAACAGGACAGGAACACACACACACACACACATCCACTCACACTCACTCACACTCTCTCATCATCAACCTCATCAGCATCATCGATGATGCTCTCTCACATGCTTAGTCACTCACATACTCATCATCATCATCATCACTCGCACTCTCACACGCTCACGAACATCATCATCATCATCATCACCATCGGCATCGGCATCATCCTCATTCAAACATCATCATCGCCACCACCACCACTCACAATCAATTATCATCCTCTTCACCACTCATCTTCACCACTCATCATCCTCATTCATCCTTATCATCGTTGAAGTGAATTGGGAGGAAGTCTCAGGCGGGAGCCTCGTCTCAAGCGGGAGTTCCCTCCCTATGGGGCCCGCAGATCATGCTGGTAATCCGAACGGGTCATCGGAAACCTGTAACTGTCGTCACTTTTGGGCTCCTCAAGCCTGAATTTGGAGGAAGTCTCAGGCGGGAGCCTCGTCTGTGAGTGAATTATGAGGAAGGCTCAAGCGGGAACCCCCCCCCCCTATGGGGCCCGCTGATCATGTTGGTAATCCGAGCGGGTCATCGGAAACCTGTAACTGTCGTCACTTTTGGGCTCGTCAAACCTGAATTTGGAGGAAGTCTCAGGCGGGAGCCTCGTCTCTGAGTGAAGTGTGAGGAAGTCTCAAGTGGGAGCCCCCTCCCTATGGGGCCCGCAGATCATGTTGGTAATCCGATCGGGTCATCGGAATCCTGTAACTGTCGTCAATTTTGCGCTCCTCAAGCCTGAATATGGAGGAAGTCTCAGGCGGGAGCCTCGTCTGTGAGTGAAGTGCGAGGAAGTCAGGCGGGAGCCCCCTCTTTATCGGGCCCGCAAATCATGTTGGTAATCCGAGCGGGTCATCCAAAACCTGTAACTGTCGTCAATTTTGGGTTCTCGCGCTGCCAGAACGCAGTTCCCAGGCCACATTTTGGATGCAACAAGGAAGTTTTTGGGCTCCTCAGCATGCTTGGGGCTGGGCTCCAGCAGTCGTGACCACCAGGCACTCCGCCCAGCTCGTGAGGCAGAAAATCAGCACGTACTTGAGGACCAGCACGAACGGGATCAGCATGTACAGGAAGATCAGCACATACGTGATCAGCACGTTCAGAATCAGGACGGGCAGGATCTGCAGGTACATGAAGGCCTGCGCGTACAGGAATATCAGTACGTACAGGACCAGCACGTACAAGAATATCAGCACGAGCATGGGGATCGACATCAGGATCCGCACGCACGGGAAAATCCGTATCAAGATCTGCACGTACAGGTAGATCAGCTTCAGGAGCACGTACATAATAAGCGCAAACAGGAAGATCAGCACGCGCCTGGGGATCGACATCAAAATCCGCACGGACGTGAGGACCGACATCAGGATCAGCACGTACAGGTAGATCAGCACTCGCACGAGCCTCCGAAGCGTGAATAAGATCCGCACAAGCCACAGCATGGAGAGGCGCTTCGCGAACAGCTTCGTCATGGAAAGGCTCGGGGCGAACACCTTCAGCACAAAGCGCAGGGAACGATGGAACCAAAGGGAGGCCACGGGTCCTAGGCTTCTTGGGCACCGCCGCCGCCGCAACCCAAGGGTCAGCACCTCCATGACCGTGCCAAGGATCAGGAGCCAGCCGAAACGCATCGCGATGCCGACGACCAGGGGGAAAGCCACCGCGTCCAGGTTCATCACCACCGTCATGACCACCCGGGTCTTCACCAGCAGGTTGATCGAAAGCACGAACAGGAGGAACGCGCTTCATGGAGACCGATCTGTGGGACGCGCCTGTCGACGAGGAGTGCCCATGATCGACCACAACGGCGCCCTGCAGTGAATGGGGCATGAGCTGGACGAGGTGGTTCGCAAAGCTGTTGAGCATGGCGGGGTCCCAGATCGGCAGGAGGACGAAGTTGAAGGTCACGCGGTCGGAGTACGAGTTGAGGCGAGCACGAACCTGCCTACCTTGAGCGAATTGGTCGGGAAGCCACCTCAGACGAGCAGCGCAGACCATCCCAGCGAGGCGGAGACGCAGCGGGGGGCGCACGGGCACCCGATGGCCCTTGACTCAGCACATGCTTGGGCCAAAATGGCGATGATGATGATGATGCTGATGCTGATGCTGATGATGATGATGATGATGATGATGGTGTTGATGATAAGGAGGGGGAGGAGGAGGAGGAGGAGGAGGAGGAGGAGCAGGAAGAGGAGGAGGAGGAGGAGGAGGAGGAGGAGGAGGAGGAGGCGGGGGGGGGAGGTCGGCGCCGCGGGTCGGTCCCCCGCGGGCCCTGGCGTGTATTGCGCACGCCGCGGCCCACGAGTTACCGAGGCGAGAGCAGCCAAAGCTGCACGGACAGGGTGCAGGTGAAGACCTCGTCGCCTGTAGCGACTCGCGGGCCAGCCGTCCCGGCTTGGTGCATTGGGAGCCAAAAGGCATTCCAGCAGGAAACGACTGGCACTGCATATTGAAAAGCACGAGCTTCCCAGCCCTGGGTGGACACAAGGCCCCATGGGACTTACGTGGCACAAGCCACCGCCTCCCGAGGAAATGCAGATCCCTGACAGCCAAATCGCAATGAATGACCGCACAAGCGCCGCTGACGCCGCCACCAGCAGGGCTAAGCTGAGACTGGGGGCCGTGCTACTCCCAACGACGGGAGCCCCGCCGATGCAGGTTTCGCAATGTCCACCCCCAGTCCCAGAGCCCGCCGTATCCAAGAAATTCGGCCGGTTGCTTCACACCCTGCCAGTTCACTGCGTGCCAATGATACAGTGTGCCCCGAGGGTGTACAGCAAGGACACCATGAAAACAGGTGCCAAGCCCCCACCCTCGGGGGGGCGGGGGGGGGAGGAGGAGGAGGAGGAGGAGGAGGAGGAGGAGGAGGAGGAGGAGGAGGAGGAGGGGGAGGGGAGGAGGGAGAGAGGAGGAGGAGGAGGAGGAGGAGGAGGAGGAGGAAGTGGAGGAGGAGGAGGAGGAGGAGGCGGAGGAGGAGTGGAGGAGTGGAGGAGTGGAGTGGAGTGGAGTGGAGTGGAGTGGAGTGGAGTGGAGTGGAGTGGAGTGGAGTGGAGTGGAGTGGAGTGGAGTGGAGTGGAGTGGAGCGGAGCGTGCCGAAACGCGGTCGAGCGGGTCCCCCGCGCCCGCCGCGCTCATCCGCTCGCGGTCACCGCGAGCGAGGCGGCGCGCCACGGTGCGGCGCAGGACCGAGGGCCCCCGCCCACAGGGATGTGGCGGGCAGCCTGTGGTGAAGCACCACGGCCTGCGGCCTGGCCAACGGCCTGCCACGCGGGCAGCCTGGCGCAGCCGCCTCAGCCGCGCTGCCCGCGGCGGGCTGGCGGCGGCCCCGCCACCTGCCGCACCAACTCGCCGAAGGACATGGCGGGCTGCCGCGGGGCGGGAAGGGCGGCAGCGGCGGCTGCACTGGCGGCCGCACCGTCCGGCGTGCATGTGGGCCTCGGCCAGCGCCGCGACGCAGGTCGACAGCTCCAGCAAGGGCCCCGTTCGCGGAGCCTGGGCCCTCGGCCGCCACGGGCTGGCCCTGCTCCTCGACGGGCTCACACTGCTCCAGCTCGAAGTCGGGGATGACGTCGGCCACGGCGTCGGAGACGGCGCCGGGCTCGACGTCGAGGTCTGCCCTGCCCTCGCCCAACTCGGGCTTGTCCGTCGCCTCGACAGGCTCCCGCTGCTCCAGCGCGTCGTCGGGGATGACGAAGGTCTCGGCGTCGGGCTCGGCGCCGATGTCCGCCCTGAGCGCGGCGGTGGCTGCCGTGATCAGCGAGCTTACGATGCGGGCCCGCCTGCCTCGCAGCCGAGCTGGGCAGGTCGCAGCTCGGCCACCTGCGAGATGGGGCGCTGCTCGGCTCACTGGGCCCAGCAGCGGACAGGGCATCCGAAGCTAGGGAGGGCGCGCTGCATCTCGGGTGAGCAGTGTCATTGAGGGCAGCCATTGCCAGCCCACCCTCCGAATCCGTCGACCCGTCTTGCTGGGCACCCATGGCCTCGCTGCAGCGCCCCACGCCAGCCACGTCAGCGACTCCCGCTGCGGCCCGCCCAGCAGCGCCTCGGCCCTCGGCAGCGGCGCGGCGCGCGATGGCCGCAGCGGGGTGCCTGGTGCACTCCGTGTCCAGCACGATGTAGCCGCCGTCCGCGATGGTGTCCGAGGAGTGCTCCAGGGCGAGGGCGAGCACCTCGAAGTCCATCCGCTCGGCGCTGGGCGCTGCGTCGAGCTCCACGCCACTGCTTTGCATCGCCGCGCGCCGATGTGGACTGGCCAAAAGCTCTGACAGCGGGACCTTCAAGGCTCGGTTCCGAGGCGTGGGCGCTGTGATGGCAGTCCCCGACATGACTGACCACTACGCCACGCTCATCACCTTCCCCAGTCAGATCGACACCACCATCACGCTCAGCAGCAGGTGAGGCACGCACTTCCGCTGCAGGTTGTCCAGCGCGCGGTCTGACGCACGAGCTGTGCACCCGCGCGGCGGGCGGCCTCGCGCCACGGGTGCGCCCATGCCTGCCTCCAACAAGGATTTCGAACTGATCAGAGCTCGAGCCGTGTGTCCTGTCGTGGCCCATGTGCGCCCCTTCGTCATCGTCCGTCTGGATGTCGCCCATGGAGCGGTCGCGTGGCTGTGCCTCCATTGGTGGGGGGGGCCTTGGGGTGCTCCGAAAGCTGCCCCCCGGCCCCCCCCCCCCCTGGCTATCGCGCCGCCCCATCGTGGTGATCGGAGCCCGCCCACCCTCCAATAGCGGCACGCTCTCCGCGCCTCACGCCAGCGGCAGCGCCGGCAGCAGCCCTCTGACGAGGGCTCGTGGCGCTCGTGGTGCTCAGCGGGCCCACGGGCATCACGACCTCCACGTCGTCCACGTCCAGATCGATGCCGGGCTTGGGCGCACGTGGCGACGACGGCGAGCCTGGTAGCCGCGATGGCACACCAGGACTTTGCGAACTGACGCCTGTGGCGACGGAGCCTGGCAGCCGCGTTGGCACACCAGCGCTTTGCGATCTGACACCAGGGCCCCGTTCGGCATCATGAGCGCCTCCGCCAGCAGCCTGCCGTGGCCGCGCGATCGCCGGGGGGCTCCTCCTGGCCCCTCGCCTGCACTGCAGCTGGAAGACGCCCAGGGTGCCACCGTCGTCGAAGTCGCGCTCGGCGGTGAACTCGTCGCCGTCGTCGGAGCTCAGGATGACGCCTGCCTTCGGCCAAAGTCCTTGCCGAAGTCGCTCGAGATGTTCTCGGCCAGCGGGCGTGGCCCCTTGGCGCTCGGCGAGCAGGCCCCGACCGAGCGCCCGCAACCCTGGCCACGCATAACAGCCGCATGCGAGGCAGGCCTACACGTCCAGCGACACCTGCAGCTTGCATCGCGTGCGACTCGTGCACCTGCTGGTCACCGATGTGCAACGGGGCGTCGGCTGAGGCAGGGCGGGCCCCATCGCCGCCACACGCCACGAGCCCTTGACATGCGCTGGCAAGCCACGCTGCTCGACTGGTGTGTCCTGCAGACGTGCGGCAACTCCGACTGCTGATCCCGTCGTCGCGCAGCGCGTGGGTGGAGAAGACGGTGGTCATGCCGATGGAGGGCGGGGACACGCGTCGGCCAGGACAGCGACGAGGTCGACCGCGGGCCTCGGCGGCTGCCGCGGCATCGATGGTGGCCCTCAGCAATCGCCATCGGACCTGGGACGCGAGCACCTCCGCGGCCAGCAGCTACTGCCGAGCACCGCCGTCAAGTCGTCCTCGACCTGATGCATGCCCAGCCAGCACGTCGGCGATGGCGCTCCCGCGTAGCACTTTCTGGGGCAGTCCTCGTGCTTGCGCCTCCTGAGGCGCGAGGTGCGAGTTCACGTGCTCGACGGTGAAGTCGCTCCTAGGAGGGTGAAGTCGCTCCACAGGTTGGCTTCCTGCCCTGCGGCTGCAGGATGCTCGTCGCACCGCTGCCACAGGCCCTAGCAGCCCACCACTCGGAGCGGCGGGCTGCTAACACCAAGGCCTGAAGCTCGCCGCGATGAACCGTCTGCCTCGCGCCTGCGAGAGGGCCGAGGATGGCGCTGTCGACTTCGGTAGCCTCGCAACGGACACTGCGCACAGCGACGCCCACACGTCGAAGCTGAGGGTGCATCGAGTTCCGTCTCTGGCATCGCCGAACAGCGCGAGGGGGTCGTGCGGGGTGCCGATGCCGAAGCCCTGGTGACCAAGCGCGTCGCCGATGTGCGTCCAGCAAGGCTCGTCGGGAGGAGCTGGGACGCGGGCCCAGCCTCCTGGTAGATGGTAGAACGCATCGAAGCCAGAAGCAGAGGTACGCGTCTGCTGCAGCATGATCTCTGGCAGCGAGATGGGCGCTGACGCTGAAGCTGTAGGCCTTGGACCCCTGGTTGGCCTCGCATGTCCACAACCTGTGCAGCGGCGTCTCTACGTCGGGCCCGCACCTGGGGCATATGCAATCGACCGAGTCCTGCGCGCCGAAGGTGTCGACAGCCTGCTCGCCAGGCCATGAGCCACCAGCTGCGATAGACGCCATGAGGAGCGCGAGGAGCTGGTGGCGCTGGGATCCCCATGGCGCGATGGGGGGCCATGTCGGCCCCATGCTGCAGGCCTTCTCCGCACCAGTGAAGAGCGGCGTCGCTCCATTGCTGCTCCTGCACCGGGGCGTCGAAAGCGTCGAGCAACTGCTGAGTGGAACCGTCGACGAGCGCCTCCGCGTCGGGGAATGTCCAGCGCTCCCATCCGCCTCCAGGGAGTGGCGCACTCACCCGTGCGGGCCAACGGGGTCCCAGTCGCATTCCATCAGCAATGCTAACAGCGCCGAGGTCGGACCCAGGACGTGACGGTGGCGCTGAGCAGGTAGAGCGTCCCTCAGCCGACGAATCATCGGGGCCCACGCTTGCTGGACTCGTCGCCTGAAATCAGCCTCGCGACGCCATGCTTGAAATCAGAGCTCGAGCTGCTGTCGCGGGAGGCGCCGCGCAGGATCTTGAGCTCCACGCAGGAGCTGCAGGACGGTGGCGAGGCAGTTCCCCTTGCCAGCTGCAGCGCTGACGGCGCCGAGGCGCTGGCGGGCCCTGCGTCACCATGAGGCTGAGGTGCCC